AACCTTTTCACCACCAGTTTCTTTTTTTCATCACAAATTCACAAAAAAATGGTCCTGTTTATAGTATGCACTTTCTTTCAGAAGAATGGGACAAAAATAGCCAAATTTGTTTAATGAGTAAAAAATGAAAATTGATTAAAATTTTGTCTGTTGGCTCCAAAATTAGGGTTCATTTCCAGAAATAAGAAAAAAGTGAAAACAAATTTGGGCGAGAAAGTCTGGTGGTGAAAAGGATAAGGTAAAATTCTGATAATGAACACTTGGTGTAATTTTGTGCATGCCTTATCACTGTGTTGACTGTACCAGAGATTCAGTGGGAGGTCTGTGAAACGAAAAAAATCCATAGTTGATGCTTAGTGATTTTCCATTTCACGAAGAAATTTTCACACAGGCCTGTCATGTTGTCACAAAAATAGAACAATGTTGCATTCGACAGTGCGAATGACAGTTTTGTGTTCGAAATGTTTTTTTTTTTTTTTTTTTACAGAATGCAATACTTGATCCAAACAGTTTGACTGAAGGTGATGGGAAATACAAAACTTTAGTGGAATTACTAACAAGCAGTACTGTGAGTTGAATACCTAACATTCACCTCTACACCACTCCAACCTTGCTTGAGTTTTTCACTAAGTGCAAGGTCAGAGCCACTGGTCAATTGCAAGAATTATACTAATGATTACATGAGGTGGTGCATTATTTAAATCGCCATAACACCATATTGATATTTAGATGATCTTCCATACTGTGTGAACAACAAGGAAGTGTCTACAAATACTTCCTCGATTCACGTTTTTAACATTCATCTACCAAGACATTCTTAACATTCATTTACAAAGACATTCTTAACATTCATCTACCAAGACATTCTTAACATTCATCTACCAAGACATTCTTAACATTCATCTACCAAGACATTCTTAACATTCATCTATCAAGACATTCTTAACATTCATCTACCAAGACATTCTTAACATTCATCTACCAAGACATTCTTAACATTCATCTACCAAGACATTCTTAACATTCATCTACCAAGACATTCTTAACATTCATCTACCAAGACATTCTTAACATTCATCTACCAAGACATTCTTAACATTCATGTATCAAGACATTCGTAACATTCATGTATCAAGACATTCGTAACATTCATGTATCAAGACATTCGTAACATTCATGTATCAAGACATTCTTAACATTCATCTACCAAGACATTCTTAACATTCATGTATCAAGACATTCTTAACATTTATCTATCAAGACATTCTTAACATTCATCTACCAAGACATTCTTAACATTCATCTACCAAGACATTCTTAACATTCATCTACCAAGACATTCTTGTCAGTGAATGAAACAATTTTTCACCACCTCATTCTCCTCCTTCTTCTAAATAATTCCATCTTGTAAAAACTTGTTATGATTTTAATTCCACCCATCTCAGCCAATATTTTGGAGAATTGTTTCACTGAATAACATTTTGCACATTAAAAATATTTTTTTTTTTCATATTTCCTTTAAGTTTGGAACAGATGGACATAAGGATAATAATTTTTTAAATGGCTTTGTTCAATATGTTTGAAAAAAATATAGAAAACATTATGAAGGTTTATTTTTTGAAAGATGGCAAAGTTGGGGTAAATAACTAGTGGACCTAATAATAAACTTGCTTTTTATTTCACTCTAGAGAATGAGTGTTTCACAAAGGTTGAAGCAAGACAAAATAATCCGAAAGACTGGACAATATGATCTGTGTTTAGTATGTTACGAAGAAATACCAAAAGACACTTCAAAGGTATGTATCTATAATTACAATATTCTCAATGTTTTGCCTCATAGCACAAAGGAAATAGAAGCGATCTCAAAATATTGTGAACCCTTTAAACATGCAATATGACAAGAACATGTCATTTTCAACATTGATGTTTGTACTGCATGTTGGTAAATACATTGAACTATGATTGACAACGCACTCTCCATAAGTTGTTCACTTGATGAAATCTCTAATATGCATGTTCACTGGTTGTTTGCACAATGTATAGTATCAGTCAACGATATCCAAAAATATAACTGCATTCATTATTCACAGGATTTTACATTCGCTATTTTCACTGATAAGTAAAATTTGCTAAAAACTTGCGTGAACATGTAAAATGACAATAGATCCAATTATTTTACCGGCAAGTTTGTGAAATTAAAACCCTGTGAAAATTGCTAAAAACATCAAAATAGTGAAATTAATATCACTTTCAATGAAACTGTTAATAATTCAGTGCTGCAACAGATTCTGTCTATTTTAATCTGATAGAAAGCATAATGCACCCTAATTTCAACATAGTTGAATTGCCCACATGTTTACAAACAGACTATTTATATATCACTTTGCTTCAGTGGTCCTAAGTAACGGGAATTGGGAAAAAAACTGAAAAAAGACTATGCGATACTCACTAAAAGCTACCTGACTTAAACTTTGAAATAAGTTATTTACCTTTGTCATAATCAAAGTTGGCTTATATCAAACCTGTGTTGTATACCAGAAAATGATATGGTAAGGATTATTTGAAGCATTATCCAATTATGATTGTTATTATAATGAATATTTGTGTTTACTATAGAATCTACTAATCCACCCTGAGCCCAAACATGTTGCTATGCGACTGTGTTATACAAAACTGATGAGCTTGATGAGTGTCTTCAAGAAACTAGTTAACCCTAATTTAAGATCTAATGCTTTTGCATTTGTTGTAAGTATATCAACAATTATTATATAATATTTTTGTTTAAGCAATCAGGAATTGATTTGAAGACGGTCAGATTATTAGTCCCCGTTCGGACGAAAACAGGGACTTGTAATTTCACCCTTGTGCAACTGTGCGTTTGTGCATCCATTCGCACCTGTATCTCAGACATGCCCCGGGCTGATTTCATTCAAACTTAACACATTATATCATACATATGTATATGCATTTGTTTCATAATCTAATTCAAGATGGCTGAATGGCGACCATTTTAGTGCAAACAATTTATCAATTTAGCATTTCTGTCATTATGGAACCAGATCTCAGTCATGCATGGATATGTTTCCCAGATTTGTTTCAAAATGGCTGACTTGTGGCTATATGGCCATTTTGTTTTTGACTCCCATGTGCGAAGCACAAAATGGGAGTCTTTGCAGTTAGTGTGTCTGTATGTGTGTGTGTGTATGTGTGTCCGACTGTTCCACTGCTATCTCAAGAACCATACATCGGTTTTTGATGAAACTTGGTGCATAGATGCTCTGGGCCAATGCACAGATTTGATTAGGTTTTGGTAAAAATCCATGCTCGTTAATTACCTAATTTGCATGATAATTAGCTAATTTTTAGCTGTTCTATGACTGTTCCACTGATATCTAAAGAACCACTCATTAGATTTTGATGAAACTTGGTACATAGATGCTCTGAACATATGCGCAGATTTGATTAATTTTTGGTAAAAATCCGTGCATATTAATTACCTAATTTGCATGATAATTAGCTATTTTTTAG